AACATCTCGGCAGGATGTTATGCCCAAGTTCCTTTTCAAACAGCGAGCTTAAAGGAATACACCTTCGATGGACTGTTTGTGAAGAGCTTTCATCGGAGTGGGGATGAGCTTTCACAAGAGGGAGAGAGAGATTTCTATGTAGTTGGAAAGCATGCGCTTTTGGGGTGAAAGCTACTGGTGGCTCTTTTGAATGTCTCACAACGGAGTCACAACAAACCCGCCGCATTTGCAGTGTAGCTCAACGCTCTCTAAAACATTATCAGCGCTATTTTCATTTATTCATGTCCACGATTCTCCCTCGGAAGGCGAAAGGCGATTATCAAGGGGGTGTGCGATGGTAAAAGTTATTGGGGCAGTGGCTGAAGGAGAGAAATGAGGCGAAATTTTTCACCAATGTCCAGGGCAGGAGCCAATTTAAAGTGAATTAAGAGCACGAAGATCGCAACAAATTGGACAACTGATGGTGTTGCGAAATTGCATATAGTTAAGAATTGAGTGGACGTTATCATCGGGAAAATCTATAACTCGTGAGTGAATAAAATATGAAATGCAATCAATTGTATCCCATGCAATGCTTTACATTCTATCATGTGTCTAAATAAAGCATGACCTTTTGCAGCAAATAGGCCAATGTCAGATGAATTCATCTGATGATGGCGAAAGGGAGTCAGGAAAGAATATTTGAAATTGCTAGTAATTGATGCAGAAAGACTCCAGCAATAAAAGTCACTCTATTTGCATACTTTTTTTCCAATTTCAACTCCTTCAGTTGCATGGAAGCGTAAGAATGGTGCGGAATTCTTTTATGCAGACTGTCAAGCTGTCGGGAAAAATGGAAATGTAATAGCGTGTCACGGGAATCAAAATCAGAACGACGATGTGAAATGCATTCGGAGGACCGGCGAGAGAGCATGCGAAAAAATTGTCGAAAGTGACACTTTCATATGCTATCGTCCATTGCTTGATGTCAAGAGGAAAATTGACTTTCTCCACTTCACTGTGTATACAATGCATTGCATTGGGCGAATGGCATGGATCGCTCGAGTATTCCCATCTGTCGAGGAGAGAGAAAGAGGATTTGAACAGTCAGCATTTCAGGGAATATGACGGTCGCCAAAGGTGGCTTCCAGTGACAAAATTTAAAAGTGAAATATCGGCAGAATGGAGAACGCATAATCTTGAGAAGCTCTATTTTAATTGCACCCTCAGTCCGTGTTTCAGTGCCATGAAAGAGGTAATAATAGATGAATTTAAGTGGCTTCATTTGTGCAAAGATGCCGCACGAGTTCTCCTGCGGAGCTTTTCTTCATTATCTCCACACTGACTCCCATCCAGCTCTCTTCCCTGGGATTCACTCCGAGGGATGATTTATGTTCACCACGAGACACTCTCCAGTGAGAAGACAGATTTTGCCATTCTACAGACAGTGTCACAGATATGCATCTCAGCGTGGAGTGGACGACAAAGGAAAGCGCATTACCTTTTGTTATCGAAAGCTCGTGTGATGCTTTTCCATCCCGCAATCCTTTCCTCCCTCACCACCAAACGATGACGATGATAGTGCATCCAATTGAGGGAAAAATAAAGCACAATCGATTTTCTTGTGGTATTTTCTCTTAACAGAGGATTTCCCATAGCTTTCGGGCAAATTCCCTCAAAGGATCTCATAGACAAATTGTGCCGAAATCTTTCTTCTAACAGCAATTCCATCTCATTTTGAACTTTGGCTTCTTTAAAAATACACACGAATATCCTTGTTTAAATTGAGAATTCTCAGAATTGTTGATCTGAACATTGATCTCTTGTCCCAATTCTCACTCTTCCCAAGGAAAAAGCTAAAGATTAACATTTTAAGGGAGTCTTAATCATATGTTGTGTCAGCTTTCACAAGTTTCAACTGTGAACTTTAGGTAAAAGAGACTTCCTTTGATGATGATGATGACAATCTCGTTAGTCTGAGGAAGAAGAAATCCTGGGAAGTTGTTAACTTTTGCCTCTTCTGCAGTGAGAAATCCAACAATGTATGAAAATGCATATGGAAATGCCTCGAGAAATGGAAACCTCTCCCTATTGTTTGTTTACCCGCCAAGTTTTCCAAGCAACTGCAGTGTATTGATGAAAATTTCTTGGAATCACTTTATTTCCCATTAGAAAATATAAATTCTATTCTCACACGAGTAAATATCTTTCAAATACAGCGTAAACAGTCATTAATTCATCTTTATAAATATCCCCCAGCGAAAAAGGGTTGGGAAATTTATTTCATTCATTGTCTGTGCATCACTTTTGCAATTTATTCTTCCTCTGTTACACAAGTGCCACATTTCCATTATATCTAAGTTCTTATGAAATGTTCTTTAAAGTTGAGTACTTACTTTCTGTATATATGAGATTTCTCTGTCGCTTTTGCGGGGACTCATTGTGAGATTAATTCACATGAAAGCTGCTCGCAAAACAATCCCTAAAATTGTGAGCATTTAATATTTCTTCCCACATCCGAAAATCTCGGCGAAGCTTTTTCTCTGCGACAATATTATCTCATTGAGGGTCACCCGGGGTGGAAATTTTGGGTGAATTTTTGGGGTGGCACACATTCACATGGGTGAAAATATAATTTCCAGTTGAATGATAAACCCCGGCAACAATAACACCCGCGTTAAATTATTTTAGAAAATTCAATTAATTAACGCCATCCACCAAACACAGTCAAAATTACCATTTGACGGGAGTTTGGGGGGTTGTTTGCCGAAGCTTTCTCTGAATCTATACACAGTGTACCCCAAAATACAACCCACCGAGAGGATATATGATGTGTTTATGTTGATGATGCAGAAAGTGAGATGCTGCGGAGCTTTCACATTGTTTCCACGAAGCTCTCTTGCCAGGAGTATGAGGCCGTGAGAGGATTTATTGTAATATTTTCACTCTATCATCGCGCACTCGAGGGAAAAGCATTTCGTGTGCCAAAATCACAATAATCACTTTGGAAAATATTCGCACACACACATGAGCTTTTGCCGGTGATTAATTACATCGCCAAATACGTTAATTACCGAACCTATCAGCGACACATTCACACAATGTATGCGAATGATTTTTCAATGTTTTTCTTCCGATAGCATTTCGAGAGCACTTTCACCCAATTCCACAGGATTGACAAATTTCCCCGCAGAAGTCCTCCACTTTGTGGGCGATGGGAAAACCACCCCTCACACTCTCCACTGGGAGAGTGTCCTCTTCCCAATGATGTTTGAAGAGCCAAACTGAAATTTCTATAGAGATTGGGTGGGATGATTTTGTTTGCTCTCCTCATGTATTTTCCATTCGATTTACCAACACGAAAGTGCAGTCATGTATGCAAATACACCCATGGAGCCTTTTCTTTGGCAGCGCGAGGCCACAAGCGAAAGGACTTGCCTCGGTGTGGATGAGTGCCCTGGAAGATATGATAGATATAAATTTGTGAGCGCCTCACATGCTCAATTTTATGCAAAACAGACCTCGTCCCTCTCGCCGCGGCGCCCACGCCGACAAAGACTGTCAATCTTTGAGTGATCCGGAAAGAAAGGCGGCTTCGGAGAGAGCCTCAAGTCAGAGTTGGATGATATTCTGACTATAGATTGAAAACTCGACAGGATGAAAATACAGCATCAGAAGCACTATTTCGATTGACAGTGATCCGGTAAACTTGAAACATATAAGGAATATCCAATATCTTGCCAAAGCATCAACTCTAACTGCAATGAAGAGGAAATTCACAGCGTGAATGCGAGGATGGCCAGAAAGAAGACATATTCTCTCTCTCTTGATGTACATGTTTTTTATCCAAAAAAAAGCACATTTCACGTCCTCATCACCCCAAAAAAATATCTCTGCGAGTAATACTTTGAGTGCCACTCACCCAGTCTCTCTGCGTATTCAAATGCCTTCCCACCCAAAGTGGCTCCGACGAAGAAAAATAGGAGAGGAAGTGAATTGATAAGGGACGTGTCACCATGCGAAAGTGATTTGGACCCGCAAAAAAATATCCTCCCCATTGACATATCATTAATCATGCGATGTATGCAATAAAATCAATTATGGCGCCTCTCTTTTGCCCCCATTGTCACCAACCCTCAATTGCCAGAGATGAATTTAATGGTGTGCCCACCAGTGAATCCCTGTGCAACATCCAATGCCCGACAATTACAATCGCTCTTCATGCACTTTCAATAGCGTATTGCATCGCACAATGGACGGACAATTTCATATTAAAAATTATATTTCCTTGTTATGCTTTTGTGATGAACCAGCGCACGTTTTCAATGAAACATCCATTGAATTATGAAAATATTTAAGCCTCTCTTTGATATTTTAATGCGCAGCATGTTTGGTTAATTTAACCGAATGATAAAATCGATTTTCATTTATCATAAAAATGTTGTCACTCAATTTATATGCATAATGACTAATTAGGCACTTTGAAGCTTTGAAAACAAATTGGAGGAAATCAACAAATGGCAGTGAATATTCAATTAAATTTGTAGTACAAATTGAAACAGAGTGCATAACGTAACACAGAATCTGTTGAAAAAAAAATTGATTTTAATCACTGAATTAAACAACAGAATGAAACATCTGTATCAGATTAATTCAATAAAGAATATACATATATAGAATATATTACAGTAGCTTTTAATTCCTCTATTTTCTTAAAGTTAAAATAAAGGAATAATTCAGACATTCCAGTAGAAACTTTGAATAGCTTTTCAATAATCAATTTATATTTTAATAAACACACGTCAAAAGTCTTCTTCCAGTTGAATTTCTTCGACAACATCTATCAAACTTTCGCAATAGAATGCAAAATGATGCACTTCATTGAGGAATTGTGTGTGGCTTTTGCAATATTAATTCACAAACTATATAAAATACCTTCACAATTGATCGGAAGTTTTGCGCGAAGCATTTTGTGATTTTCTATAAAACAGCGCAAAAGCTTCGTGAGCAGATCAGTGAGCTTGCGAAACTTGGTGCTGGGAGGTGAATGATAAATTGCCGGTGTGGATAAAATGCTTCCCCGAGTTGCATTAGTGCTCGTCAGTGTGTCCCTAATCTCTCTCACAATTTGCTATGCCCAGGAGACGTGCTCCGATCCCACGTGCCCATCCGTTGGCGAAGATGAAGTTGAATCGGGTCTCACCCTCTTGCCGGCGCCTGAGAACTGCAATGAGTTCTTCATTTGCAGCCACGGAACTGCCATAAGGATGTGAGACTGTGACAGACGCGAATGTCCTGGTGATTTACTCACCCGCCCTCTCTCCTGGATTCCCCATAGGTTCTGTCCCGCCACTCTGGTCTTCAATCCGGCAATTAACGTGTGTGACTACGAAAGGAACTCCAAGTGCACCCCGTGTCAGCTGCCGGAGGACGAGAAGGAGGACGAAGGCGAGGAAGAGTGAGACCAACAAGTGGAAGAAATCGAATTACATCGCGACGACGAAAGACCTTCAACTTGAGCGCTTCATTCCACGATAAGTGTTTCTCTCGTGCCAATGGAAATAAAATTTGCAATTGCAATTTTGTGTGGATTGTTTGCAAAGTTGTAACGCTCTGTGCTTCCTCATTTTCTGCAATTTTCCACCAAAAAACACACATTCATCGCGCGCGCGCCGCATCATTTCTGCATTTGATAAGAAGATATGATGGAAACATTATGCGAAAAAGCATCGAGTCTCGTGATTCGGAGAAACTCAAGTGATACTAATATCATTAATTACACTCGAGAGCAGTTTTCGAGGAAATTCGCATCGTGAAAAACAGTGAAACAGATTCAGGCGGGAACTTGTGAAAGTGCATAATTAAAATGTGGTTTGCATGCGCGTACTGCTTGCTAAATGCTCAAGGAGAACCCTTGAAAATCCACTCAATTATGTATTCACTGCTGCGATATTATTGCAAATTCATTTTTCACAGATGAAACTCACCAGCATCTGAATATTAATTTTAATTTCACCACTGAAAACTAATAGAAATCTCGAATTCAGGCAACTTTTAATGCTGCCAAAAAGAGAACAAGTGAAGTACCAAGAAAAGCTCCACTTTGCCATAATTGCGGAAGTCCCCGAGAATAGTTATAATGCTTTTCTTTCTTTTAATTTCTCTCTCGAATTGTTGAAAGTGCAAAAAGTGTCTTTATGCAAGCGAAAGGCAATATGAATGCATAATGAGTCGACAAAGAGTGTTTCTGCCTCTTGTTGAACACTTTATTGTGAAAAGCAATTAATTTATTTCCCACTCTTGATCATTTTCAAAGAGTTTCTTCGTTTCTTCAAACCATTAAAAAAAATATCTCTCTCCACCAGTAGATAAATTAATGCTGAATTTAAGCATCATCGTAATATCCTCGCGCCTTAGCTTCCTTCATAATCGTGATGAAGGCTTCGAGAGTTTCCTCGCCGACGGGCGTTATTTGATTGGCGGGCAAGATGAACATCTCCGTGCTGTCAGGTGGTCCTCTGAGTTCGAAAGTGTAGGAGATCTTGATCCCCATTTCCTCATAAGCCCAGTCGCTGCTTCCGCCACTCGACGGATAAATCGTCTCAATTATGCTACCAGTCTTGAATTGCGTGCCATGCTTCTTGGCCAAGGCTTCGATTGCCTTCTCTCCGATGGCCTTAAGATCCTCATAATTATCCACCTTGTCCTCAGTGCTGCCGTAGGGAAACATGAGGAGCTGCGAATACGAGTGGAGACTCAGGAAGGTCTTGATTCGGGACTCCTTCACGTGTTTCTTGATGAAATTCGAAATTGCCGCAACTTCAGGCTCGCTGTTCACGGCACCACCGCAGAAATCATATCGGCAGGGATCTGAACTGGATCCTGGACCATTCCAGGAGGAGTTGAAGTTCCTGTTGAGATCCACGCCGCGACAGAGACCGTAAGGCTTGCGATTCTTCCTCCAGAGGCGATCGTAGTCGAAGGTGTAGACATAACCATCGGGATTGACGACTGGGAAAAAGAACCAGTCGAAGTTCTCAGCGAGTTGTTGAACTCTGGGATCTGAAAAACACCCACAAAATCAGATTTCAGCACACAAATCTTGTTGGATTGACAACTGACCTGATGAGGTGAGGAGTTGATTCAGAAGATAAGTGCTAGTCGCTGGTGAAATCCACTCTCTGGCATGGATTCCAGCCTCCACGAACACCGCAGTGTTTCCAGCTTTCCGCGACAGTTTCACTCCTCTGATGTCTCTGCCCTCGTAACTACTGCCCAGACTGACAGAGCTAAGTTCCTTGTGGTTCTCCAGCTGAAGATCCAGCCACATATTGATGGTGTCCAGATGGAAGTAATGCTGCCAATCCAGCTGATATCCAGGCGTCTTCTTCGGCAGCACAGTGTCCCACTCATCGTCGATCTTCTCCTGGATGTTGTAGATCAGCACTGTTCTGGTCATGCCGTATCTCTTGAACAGATCCTCAGCTTCTGCCACTTTGTGGGCAGCCACCATCATCGTCAGCGTCTGATCCACATGCCTGGCGTGTCCAATGAAGACGAAGCTGTCGCTCATCTGCTCCAGCTCCTGCATCACCTTCACCTGCTCCTCCGTGGCCATGTGAAACCGGTACAGCCGGTAGTTGTCATATCTCGCCTTGTCGGCGATCTCGCAAGTATTCACGTTCACTGACATCATGAGGGAGAAGATCAGGAGCAGGACTCGCGGGGGCATCACACAGAATGGCACTCTTGAGCGAACTAGCAGAGTTCTGGATAACCTTGTCGGGTGACAAAAGTGTTCCTGTCACATCTGAGTGGTCAAAAGCCCCAGAGAAAGTGGGAAATGAAACGAAAATTCCCGAGTCGGCGCACGTTTGCCCAAGAGATGCGCGTCATTCTCTACACTTTCATTCACAGGCTCCTGAATTGTTGACAGAAATTGATTTCTCTGTTGTTTTGGCATAAAAATATCTGCTTATGCACAATTATGTATCAAAATTCTTACTAAAGAATAGAAGTAATAAATAAAATTCACTTTGAAAAAATTCATTTAGCGTGAATTTGACGAAAAATCAGATAAAATGTGTCAGAAAAGCAATAATCTATTAATTTTCCGAACAAGAAATTTATGAATCTTCTTCATAAATATTCTCTGCTTTTAAATTTGTTCTTCTCACGCGTGAACACGTGTTGAGTGTCTCTTAAAATTCTCTAAAGTTCTCCTTGTCATCTGTTAGGCAATAATGTGCGGTGAGAAATTTATAAACACACTCCCGAAGAAATATATTTTCGTGCCAGAAGTGAGCGGAAAATTCCTCTCATCAGACCGGAAAATATGGAGTGAGGAAAGCCGGTGGGAAAAGATTATAACATTTCCTCTGAGATGATTTAGCACCTCGCGGACTTATTAATCCGCAGCTGGAGTAAAAAATGACTGGGTATTTGGGAGGATGATTAACGAGGACATGAATGAGATATACAATGTAAACACTGTGACAGGAGTTCGCAAACTCGCGCGCTGAAATGGATTCTGAATAGCGCATTATTTGCCATTAGGCAATATATTTATATACTCGGACGCGATGGCGAAGGAAATTAATTTCCGATCATCGAACGAAGATAATGGGAATTGAGAGACTGTCTCGAAATAAATCTTCATCTGTGCTCGCGCAAAGACTTGCCATTTGTCTGACTGATTTGTGAGCGACAAGAGGTATTTAGAAGGCGAAATTGCTCGTGAACAAATTGTCGCGTGTTGAAGAAGTGTATCTATATCTTGATGAGATGTGACGGAAGGAGTTATTGAAGAAGACATTCGGTGACACAGCTCATAACTGTCTTTCCGGCGTGATGCCGTCAATCAACTTGTGTCCTGTGTGCGGCGTCGAGGCGTTCCTCAAGTGCGCCGGCTGCAAGAATGTCGTGTACTGTGGCAAAGATCACCAGAAGATCCACTGGCGAAAGGGTCACAAGGTCATGTGCAAGTGCTTTGAGGTGAGCTCGCGATTTCGCGAATGAGGAAAAGTGTTGACCTCTTGCCTTGATCATTGCATAGTTCATTCCCGAAATAAAAAGGGTAAATGCGCCAGAAGAGATCTGTGCTAATGGGAAAAGTCTCTCATATATGTGTGTAATTGTTTGTGCGGTGAAAATAGAACATGCGCGCGTTGAAACACTAATCTAAATTGATTTACATACTCTAAAAATGTTCCCTTGTCTTTCAGCTGAAAGTGGATGAAGTGATGGGAAGATATCTCGTCGCCACGCGAGACATTAAGCAAGGCGAAGTGATCCTGAAGGAGAGACCAATGGTCATTGGCCCCAAAATCAACTCTCGCGTCTTGTGTCTCGGTTGCCATCGCTTCCTGAGCCTTCAGCCCAAGCAGAAGAACTACTACAAGTGCTCCCAATGCAATTGGCCTCTCTGTGGCGCTTCCTGCGAGCAGTCCTTCGTCCACCAGGCTGAGTGCTCTCTAATGGCCTCGCGGAAGTTCAAAGCTCAGATTAATGCTTCTCCTGGGGATGAGAACAAGAGGGAAGCCGCGTATTGCGCCATTGTTCCGCTGCGATGTTGCTTGCTGAAGCAATCGGATCCACTGGACTTCGAGAGGATGCTGGATCTGCAGTCTCACCTGGAAAGGCGAATTGACACGCCTCTCTACAGAATTCTGAAAGCCAACTTGCTGACCTTCATCAGGACCATCCTGAAGGTGGACATTGACGAGGAGACTGTCATGAAAATCGCTGCAATTCTCGACACGAACACCTTCGAAATCCGCCATCAACATCGGAACATCAAAATCAGAGGACTTTATCCAACTGCGGCGATGATTTCGCACAGTTGCGTCCCCAACACTGCCCACACCTTCAGTGAGGATTTTGACTTCATCCTGATAGCCACAGTTGCCATCACCAAAGGATCTCCCATCTTCACCACTTACGGTCAGACGTTGGAAGCGACGCTGCAGCGACGAGAACATCTGCGCCAGAATAAGTTCTTCGATTGCTTCTGCGAGAGATGCGGAGATCCAACGGAATTGAGCACCTTCGCGGGATCTTTCATCTGCTCAAAGTGCAACAGTGGCAAGATGATCCCTATGAATCCCTTTGAAGACGCCGCTCCGTGGAAATGTTCCGCTTGTGAGCTCACAATTCCTGCACAGCAAGTGATCAAGGGGAACAAGGCGATCCAAATGGAGATCGCCGCTCTGGATCAACACTCGCCGAAGGAATTCGAAGCGTTCCTGATCAAGTACAGGGATGTTCTCCACGGGACCAACACGCATATGCTTCAGGTGAGGACTCAACAACAGAGATTGTTTGGGAAAAAGCGTCAGAATCTTACCTTTCTTGGCAGGTGAAGTACGCCCTGAGTCAACTGTATGGCAACATTCCGGGCTACTTTCCTGCAGAGCTGAGCGATGCCGCTCTCATCCGGAAGATTGACATCTGCCGCGAGCTGCTGGAAGTGGGAAATCTAGTGGAGCCCGGACTGAGCTTCTTCCGCGGTTATCTCCTCATGGATCTCCAGACTGTGCTGGCGATCCAAGCGAAGCGTGACTTCGACAACAAGAGCGCCAATCGCGAGCAAACTCTCTCGAAACTCAGCGACGCCATGGATTTGCTGCAGGAAGGCGTGAAAATCCTGAGCCCCAATCCTGCCCTGAAAGACTACGTCAATGAGAAAGTCCAGGAACTAACGAACTGGATGCAGTTCTAGAATGTATTTTGTGTTCAAAATAGAAACATGTTCAGTAGCCCAGCTTCTGGTTCAGCTCAGTCATGCCGTCGCCTCGCTGGTTCTCCGGAGGAAGCCATCCGGAGAACTTTTCAGAGTCTTTCTCCACATCTTCATCCGGCATATCGATGTTCTCGCGGTGTTTTTCACGATTCCTCACTCTGGTTTTGCGCTTTTTCGAGGATGTTGACTCTGATTTGTCCTCCTCAGCTGCTTCCCGGCCTTCCTGGTCAGTTGAAGTGGAGAGTTTCCTCTTCTGGGGCTCTTCTGTGTCTTCTGTCATCTTCACTTCATCAGGCTCAGCGGAGGTTTGATGGGAAATCCTGCGAAGGATGTCTGGATCAATGGTGGGACCTAAAATACGCTTCTGCTCTTCTTCCTTCTTCTCTCCAGGTTCTTCCTTCTCCTCCACTTCTTCCTCAACTTCCTCACCAGACGGAGTTTCAATTGGAATTCTCTTTTCCTCTCGCTTCACACCAAAGTCCTTCTTCAGTTTTGTCCTTTTCCCAAACAGAGGAAGAGCCGGTTTCTTCTTCTCAGCAGCTTCTGAAGTTGTGGCCAAAGATTTAATTGACGGAAGATGAGGAGCCGCAATTTTAGCGAGTTTCTCAACTTTCATCAACTCATTCTTCAACCTCTGTTGCTCAACTCTGAGCTTCCTTATCTCCATCTTATCAATGATCTTCTGATTCTTCAGGTTTGTCATGAAATCATCAAGATCATCAGCTTCATTTGAACTCTTGATCGCCTTCTCGGATTGCTTGAATGTCTCAATCTTCCGATCAATCTCCTCAATTTCCGACTGAATCTTCTGCTGTTGTCCCAGCAAATCCTCATAACTAAGTGCAGAGGTTTCTTGTGATGCTGTTTTCCTCTGTCTTCTCCTCTCCACATCCCCAGTTCTGTCCAGGAAGTCATCATCATCGTCAGAATCTGACTTGGGAACTCTTCTTCTGCGCGGTTCCTGATTTGCCTGACGCAGAACGCCTTGTCTGTCCAGGATTCGACAAGCCTCCAGAGCGCACTGGATCACACTCTCCTTCTTCTTCCCCTTGTGGCACACTTCAGCGACAATTGGCCGCCCCTGGGCATCATCAACAGGCAACTCCACGCGGCAAACAAACGTTCCCTGCGACATTTCCTCACATTTGTACTCCAACTCGAGGCCTTCGCGCTCAAAGAAACCTCTCAGCGTCTTCTTAGGATCGTCCAGGAAGAGTTGCTCGTTGTTGGTGGACGCAAAGGGATTCACTGAGAGATCCACTTCCTCCTCTTCAGCGTCATCCATCATTCCCCAACTAATTCCCTCTTCTTCGCGCGCCTTCTCGCGCTTCTCCTGCTCAAGGCGCTCTTGCTCCTGTTTCTGCAGCATCTCGAGAGCCTGTTGCTTCTTCAACTCTTTCATCTCGGTGATGGACAGCTCAGATTCTGCCTCCTCATCAGCCACGGGTCCCTGGAGAATGAACTGTCGAGTGCTGCCGCCCATTTTCACAATATGCCCCACTCGGATGCGGATGTAGGTCTTCGGAGGGACTCTCTGTTTGTTCACAAAGGTCCCATGAGTGCTGGAGAGGTCATAAAGATACCATCCTGGCTCAACTTTCTTCTTCTTCTGGCCAGAATCCTCTTCTTCTGGCTCTTCAGATGCATTTTCATCGTCCGGACGGTACTGAAGCACAGCGTGGAACCTAGAGAAATGATAAAGTGAGTATTTGTGTTTGCCAGAGAATTTTGAAGGGACTCACCGGGAAATTGTGGGATGAGCCATTGGGATGTCACACTGAGGAAGCCTTCCGAAGACCCAATAAGGCTTCTTCTCCAGATTTTCCACCACTTCAATGATCATGCCTGTCTTGAGGACCTCGAAGCTGTACACAGAGTCATCCGACGGTCTTCCTGACCACTTGGGCTCAATATAAGGACACTCCACGGCAACCGGAGGAGCGTCAGATTTCTCCTGACCGGAAGATTGCCCTGCTGTGCTGTCTTCGTCATCTTTTGTCCTCTGCTGAACAGGTTTTGGAGGACGTTTGATGTCCAGGGAGGGAATTTTGAATCCTTCTTCCATACCTAAACACAGAACTAACAAAGTTTTCACAATTCCGCACGCAAAACAGTACGTTTTCTGACAACCAAAACGTAAACAATGAGAGAGAGAGAGAGAGAGCGAAATCCACCCAATTCTCTCTTCAGCGCTCTTAGCGGAGACACATACATTGGGTGTTCTTCGCCAAAGCGGTATTTTTAAATCACTGTTAAAAAGCCATGAATAAATAGATATGAATGTACCAATGATTCTTCTCTATTTAAACTTAAACACTTGCCCAAATGGAAGAAAAATCAAATTATTATCAAATTATTAAAGCGAATGAAAGAGGAAATCTTTCATTTTCATGTCTTTTTGACTCTTCGCAGAGGTTTCCAGCTCTTGCTTCATCCATTAGATACTTAAATATTCACACTTTCAACAAGCTTTTGACTACAGAAGCACGAGAAACTCAGTAAAATTGCTCCAGAGTCACAATTGAAGCACAAAAGCAATTACTTTTCTGAAAATCTAAATCTGAAAGTGAATTAATCACAGGTTGAAAAATGCGTCCGTTTTGTCTTAACTGAGACACATGCTGTCGATTTGTGGTCGACATATTTCCAGGAAGGTTCCATTTATCGCTGAATCCTGACCCTGAATCCCTCAAGAGCGGCGCTTTGTGAATAAATCATAGCTCGGCCGAGGGCGTGGTGGAAATAGGCTATTTTTCCACGTGTCGATGTCAATTGCGATACTAATCAGTCATTTTAAGTGACATCCTCACGAGTCCCGAACCCTTGCCACCTGTCAATCACTGTGGGGCTGTGGAGGATGAGGAGATCTCGTGTGGAGAGGCACTCGGTCAGAAGAACCGGGTTCAATGGAGTAGAAGTGTACGCGCAAAAATTACCATCGATTGACGCCCACGTGAAAATCCTCCACGCTAAACTTTCATTGAAGGTCTCCTAATGCGAAAGGGGAGTTATAAGTGGGCGGAAAGTGAGGTCAAAGCGGAGAGGAAGGCGAGAGACGGAAGAAATTGGCTGCAATTTGTATGAGATTCATGCAGATTTGATCTCAATGAGCACGAGCGTGATGTACAATTTGATTTCTGAGGCTGTTTGCCGTTTCACACCCAATATATAATGGTTATTTATTAAATAAAAAAGTATTTGGTAGATAGTTTATTTCTTTTCAAAAATTCTTTACAGTTCTCCTATAAATTCCTTTTCCAGTAATTCTATTTAGACAATAAAGAATATCTTTCAAGCCCCACCCATTCCAATGCTCCGCCTATTTTCACTTACTCGCATGAATTTTAATTGAAAATAGAGTGTTTTCCATACTCTTTCCGTCTTCTCTTTTCAGTTAACCCTTCTCAGGAGCAATTAAAGTTAATGTTAAATAATATCCATGATTCATGTTTGAATTTCAAGGCAGTCATTTCGACGGTATAACGACCTCTGAATTACGTTATTTATTCAAACGCGCTCTTTATTCATATTTAATTAGCAAATCTGGCCTTTTCACAATTCTAAAGCCTCTCACGTTGGCTGACGTCTTTCTGGAGGATTTCAAGGACTCTCTCCGAGTTCATCCTTAAAGATGGTGAGAGGAAAATCTCGCAGGGGGTTTCCGGCGAGACGATGGACTGGGAAACATGGGAAAGTGTAGCCAAAAATTGCACAATTGGCCACGAGTTGTCTCCTAAGCATGTGAGACACGCACTCGGGCCCTCTCCTGCTCCCCTCGCGGGACGCCTTCGCGCTGGCGCGCGCGTGAGCGTGACGTGGAGGGGTTGGAAAAGCTCCGACGCCGCCAATCGCGTCGCCTTGACGTCACCGAGGACGATCGATCGCGACTCGTGGAGGGTGAAGCACGTCGGGGTGCCTCTCAGTATCGCCTTTGCCGCGTCCAGGTGCGGATGAGCTTTTGCGAGAGCCTCAGCTGTACAGCCAGGAGACCGTCGGCAGCCTTCGTGGGTCCCGCCAATCGATTGGGAGCGCCATTTTCTTCGGGAGCTCGCAGCCCCGCGTCCCATGCCTTGAGGTGCGTGTGGGATCATCTGGTGTGGCTGCAGGGAAGGGCACATGTGCGGGTTACGGGCCTTCAGAACGAGGAACAGTCCGTCTCAAAAGACGTCTCTGCGTTGGGGCGATAACTGTTTCACCGTGAATCCCCGTCATCCTCCAATTGCCATCCACTGAAGTGTGGACACTCTCTGTACAAAAGCCACCAAAAGAATACGGACTCTTGAGCCACAGAAAACCCCCGTTTGAAAGAAAAAGTGAGGACTCTAAAGGCGCAGTGAGTGCGAGATTGACAAGGGAATTGAGTGAGTGAAATGCAGAGAATTGACCCTTGAGTCTCAAGAGAGGGTGTGAAAAAGTGTTGTTGAATTTATCTGTGATGTGCTAATAAGAAAATCTCCCTGAGATTCCTTCGAATTATCCTTGTTTTGGCTTTCAAGTGCAAATTCACGGTAAGTTCACCATCAAGTTTCGTGAGTTTGGACAGTTTTCCTCTTCTCGGTGCCGCGTTACGTAATTACAGAGCGCGATTGCCCAAGAAATTCTGTGCGACAGGAAGGAGTGAAAGCGTTGACAGAGAATACAATGTACACACTTTGTTCTGTAAAGACGTTCAGAACGATATCCAAGAAGTTCATGCATTCGGAGGAATTTTAATTACGCCTCCACGAAAGGACGCACGATGTACCTTGACGTCGTTCTATCGATTTTCCCTCCCTCGCGCCTGCAATGGCTCCTTTTCGCTAGTGTGGGAGGGATTTTAGGGTCTTTCCCAAGGAGATTTCTGTGTGAGCCTCAATGGAAAAAAGTGGAGCGAAGGCAACTGATCGATCTATGCTTCCCTTTACGTAAGGCTCTCTTGAGGACGATAACGACGTTACGGCGTGGCTGCAGATATTCGAGACATTTGATCAAATATTCGGTTTCATTTGCACATTTTACGATATATCTTCGTGAATTCACAAGCAGCAGGAGAAAATTGAGTGTAAAAGAAGAAAACTACAAAAGATATTTGGAGAGGATAAGAAATTGCGAAGCTTTGTCGCTTATAATGAATTGCTTTTGAGCGTGACGCTTTGTTAGGTTTGCTATATCAAAAGGATGTTCAAGTTTCAGAATTAGATTACATATTAGGAATGTTGCGTATTGTAATGCTCATGCCATCAGCAAACAGAATGTTTTGTGGGAAATACAAAGATCCCATCAGGTTTAGGTTTTCCAAAAGAATGTCCTACGAACGCTCTCTATTCGCCTAATCCCGGGTTGTATTAGAAAATTATCAGGATAAAATTCAATTTAAATGGCTAAATTTGCTTTATATATTTTAATTTTTAATCTATGTACATGCTCAGTATCCTTTTCCTTTATAAAAATGTAGCACAAAGTGAAATTCAACACGCGCAGCGAAAATATTGATGAGGACTAAAAGGGGTCTCTATACTGAAAGGACATATCTCAAACGCTAATGGATTTACAGTCATTTTGCTATCAATTCGCGGACGGAAAAAGAGATTAAATAGCAGCAGAAAATGGGTCAATGGTGAACAAATAATGCACAATTACGCGGATACTCTTTGTGAAAGGATAAATCACATCGCGGGTGATTTTCGAATATTGTACAATTTTGAGAGAGCGTTTTGGCGGTAATGAAGAGTGAATCTCTAATTATCCGTGCCTTTGTCGTCACGCTGTGTGTCCTGGAAGGATAATTGGAAAACGTGATGAGGCTTCCTCGTGTGTCTAGATGGGCAGTTAATGCCCCTGCCAAGGGCGCCCTTAATGCCATCGATTTCCCTTGGATTCTGTTGTGGCTCAATATTCACAGCTGCCACCCGCGCTGTGCATAATTTATCAAGCCAATTGGAATAACAAGTGAATGGCAAGGTAAATTTTCTATAAATAAGCAATCAAAAATTGATCAATAGTTGGATTCTCTTGGTAATTCCACCACAATTTCGGGCAGGGTGAAACTTTGTGCGTTTGTGAGAAGGCTTCAAATGGAAGAATGAGGTTCAGTATAATTAAGATTTGTGTGGGCGAAGAACCCCAACTGATCCTCATTATTTTGGGCCTCGATTTTCCTACCGACAGTCATATTTTAGGCCGCCCTTTCTGGGGAAACGAGACTTTATTCTCTGTCACTCTGTTGATTTTTTTTCTCCCCCATCGAGAGAAGGTCAACAGAGAACAAACTATTTTAATCCATAAAGTCCTAATCGAATTGATTTGACGGGGATTTATTTATATATCCAAGAAAATGAATGAAAATGTCGTCAGAGTGAGTCATTCGAGGAAAAACCTGAAAATTAATCACGACTCGCAACAAAGCGACGCTGAGGAGAAAAAAATATCTCCATTTGTTGATGGCACGCAAATTTTCAGACTCTGTTGAGTGTCTCTTGTATAAATTCAATTTTTATGTCCTGTTTCAAGTGGTTTTCAAATTCAATTTTCGCGCAGCGCTCTGGAAAAAATATGTATATAGCTAGAGTAAAATTGTCCAAACCCATTTTGTCAGCCATTTGGGCAGCTTTTTTCGGCATTCTCTGAGTTGTGAAATTGCTGGTGGACTTTTTTCAGGCCGTGTGACATAAATTGAAACAATAAAACATCTCGACCGAGTGGAAATTCGCTAGAAAATCTTTCGTTTGGCGTCACAGCAGAACTGCGAGCCGTTTTCCGTGAGATTCACACGCTCAGGTGTCAAGCGAGGCCACGATGATTAATATCGCGGGCGTCGTGAGCATTGTGCTGTTCTACCTCCTGATCCTGGGAGTGGGCATTTGGGCGGGACGCAAGAAGGAGGAGGGCAATGACTCAGAGGAGGAAGTCATGCTCGCGGGCAGATCCATTGGTCTCTTCGTGGGCATCTTCACCATGACAGGTAAGATTTCTTTTTCCTCCTAATCTTTCCGCCCCTGGCGCAATTCAATCTCACCCTCTCACTCCGCATCTGTGCAGCAACCTGGGTCGGCGGAGGATACATCAATGGCACGGCAGAAGCCATCTACACATCGGGACTCGTTTGGTGCCAGGCACCCTTCGGATATGCTTTGAGTCTCGTGTTTGGTGAGTTGAAAAGCTCGCAGGAAATTGCAAAAATCCCTTTTTAAAACTCCCCAACCCACACACCACCCGCTCTCAATCTCCCGTCGATTTATGGCTTTTCTTTCATTTTATGCGCAACTCTTACAACATCGTAAAGCTTCACTTTGACTCAACATTTTTTGCACAACTCATAATCTTCGTGCTCAATTCTTTGCCCTTCATTAATTAAGTTGTCAAACATTTGGTGAAAAAGAAGGACTTTCGTAATGGATCAGTTGGTGCAGTTTGAAAGAAGTTTGAAACTTTTCTTTCAATACAAAGCTAAAAGCACTTAAGAGTTCGTTGTCTTCAATATGCAGAGAATTTACGTGCAAAGTTTGCATATAAATTACACAACTGACAGAATCAAATAGCTTTTCTCTTCCCGAGTATTAAAATTTAAAGAATTTTCATCCCTCAATATTTAAACCACGAATTTCTCAGTGCATTTTTGAACAGGTTGGGATTAAATTGAATTACGGCGAAAGGTCGGCAATGTATTGTCTGAAATTTGACACCTTTGGGAGAAGCCACAAGTTTGTCCTTTGAGGATATGACGTGCGTCTCTAAAATCTCACCTTTGTGTCTCGTCTAGGCGGCATTTTCTTCGCCAATCCCATGCGGAAGCAGGGCTACATCACCATGCTGGATCCGCTGCAGGACAGCTTCGGGGAGCGCATGGGAGGTTTGCTCTTCCTGCCGGCGCTCTGTGGTGAAGTCTTCTGGGCAGCGGGCATCCTGGCCGCCTTGGGCGCCACTCTGTCCGTCATCATCGACATGGATCACCGCACATCCGTGATCCTGTCTGCCTGCATCGCGGTCTTCTACACCCTGTTCGGCGGGCTGTACTCAGTGGCGTACACAGACGTGATTCAGCTGTTCTGCATCTTCGTCGGCCTCTGGATGTGCATCCCCTTCGCCTGGGCCAACGACCACGTGGCCAGTTTGTCGTCTATGGAGGTGGATTGGGTGGGATCTGTGGACCCGAAGGAGCACTGGTACTACATAGACTACGGGCTGCTGCTCATCTTCGGCGGGATCCCGTGGCAGGTGTACTTCCAACGTGTGTTGTCCAGCAAGACGGCTGGGAGGGCTCAGATTCTGTCCTACGTGGCGGCCTTCGGCTGTATCCTCATGGCAATCCCACCGGTTTTAATTGGAGCTATCGCCAAAGCCACAAGTAAGACTTCCAGCTAGAGAATCTCAATTACTTAATAGATTAATGCACAATCTTGGGGCACAGAATGGAACGAGACGGGCTACACTGGGCCCTATCCGCTGACAACAGACGAGACCAGCATGATTCTGCCGATGGTCCTGCAGTACTTGACCCCCGATTTCGTCTCCTTCTTCGGCCTGGGCGCCGTCTCCGCCGCTGTGATGTCCTCAGCGGACTCCTCAGTCCTGTCCGCCGCCTCGATGTTCGCCCGGAACGTGTACAGGCTCATATTCAGACAGAGGGCTTCAGAAATGGAGATCATCTGGGTGATGCGAATCTCAATTTGTGTGGTTGGCGTTCTAGCGACTGTGATGGCTTTGACAATACCCTCAATCTATGGTTTATGGTGAGTCTCCGCATGCCAAATATTGACCAGTGATTGTGTATGCGTGAAGATTAGAAAGTACATTTGTGGCCAAACAAGGTGACGATGCTCCTCGCGTTGTCACGATGTTTAACTTGGAATTATCAAACATGTTTGAGATCATTGCGAGTTACCAGTGAATCAATATTTGCGACTACCTTCTGTTCCTTCTTATGTAACACGCGCACCTTCAATCTCTTCCGCAGGTCAATGTGTTCAGATCTCGTCTATTGCATCCTATTTCCTCAGGTGAAAATCACAATTTTCCACTCCTGCATATTGTCATTATAAATTCAATCGTCGTCTTTGCAGCTCCTCATGGTGGTTCATTTCAAGCCCTTCTGCAACACTTACGGCAGTTTCTTCGCCTACATCGTGGCCTTCCTGGTCAGATTGTCTGGCGGAGAACCTCTACTCGGCCTCCCAGCCGCCATTCACTATCCCGGCTATGATCCAGTTGAGGATCGCCAGCTCTTCCCCTTCCGCACGATGGCCATGATCTTCAGTTTGTTCACCCTCGTGGGCGTTTCCTGGTACAGCAAGTGGGTCTTCGAGACGGGTCGCTTGGCGCCCAAGTATGACTATTTCAGGTGTGTCGTGAACATTCCTGAGGACGTCCAGCGAGTGGGAGAACCTTCGGAAGCTGGAGAACAGGTAGAAAAGCATATTTTAGTAACTTCTGAATAGACAAAACCATTCACAAATTAATTTATTATTAGAGTCCTTTTGAGTAAATAATTCTGTTTGCCTTTTTCATTATTTATAATTGCACAATATACACAATTTTCTCATTTAGAAGATTGTGAATGTTGGCCTAATTGGTTTGTTGGCATTCATCGGCTTTCAATAGGAATAATAACAGTCATTTCCATGAAAAATAATTAGTTTCACTTGTTATTCTTGTTACATTCAAAGTGGTTTTTCGATAGAACTTTAATATATATGAATTTATAGAGAAATGTTCAACGTTTGTTGACATGAAATGTATAAATTACATTCCTGCAAGTGACGGAAAATATTAATTTCCCCCTCGCAGCTCTCCGTGATGGCCAGTGCCATGGGCAGGATGTACGGAGCTGCCACGATGGTGGGTAAGGATGAGATGAACGGACGCGTGAATCCCGCCATGGAGCCTGACGACGATTTGCCCATTGCGGAGGTGGAGAGAATCCGGGCGGCGGGCGGCGGTGGTCAGACTGGCATGGAAGTTCCCGTGCCGCGGGCAGGACAAGCCAACACTGCCTTCTAATATCCACAGTAAGTCGCGACCATTGAGGAGCTCTGAAGGTGTTTTTGAGGTAATCTCAGTATAAACTTAACCAGAAAATGAAATGAATGAAACCAAAACATATCACTGTAAAGTCTAATGAACGTTATACAATAAGCAAAAACTATATTTATTGAAAACAACAAATGAAATGCAGGCAAAACATGCTGTTAGTTGTTTAGAAATTGGATAATGCAGAGAACACGAAGATGCGTATTAAATTGTGTTGAACATAAATTACCTATTATAGAATCTATTTGAAGAAAAAATGAAAACATATCAATATATCTACCTAATGAAAATGAAAAAGTATTAATATTTAGCAAATTTGCAAAGGAAAAAGAAAAACTGTTTATTTTGTCTATAAAAGAAAGACGTTTGCATTGTTGTACAATTTATTGTTATGAAACAAAGTGGATAAAGCACAAAGTAATTAGTTCAATTACTCTTTAAATGCCTAAAGAAAATTTTTCTTAGATTTAGCTGTGCTATTAATTAACTATGGGAGTTGGGAAGATGGGTCAGAGAGATGAAATATATTTTCAGAAGTGTGGAAAAAGGAGTGGAAAATATCATTGTTAGGCGGCAAATTGCATAAAGAGAGATTTATAATGATTGAGTTTTCCGGATTGGGTGCTATGAGAAAAATGCAAGAGATAAGCTGCAAGTAGATTGTTGAGGAGATTTATTTAATCACTATAATGAGTTGTTGTTTTTTTTCTGTATTTAGAGAGGAACATGAATTGAGGCAAGAGTTTGAGGATGGGAAAGGTGAGAAATGGGATGAATATAATTGAAATGATACAGCTAATCTACCAAAGAAAAGTATATAAAATTAAAAAAAAAAACATCGACTGTTTCATAGAGAGAAAGAGAAAAAGGAGTCACATTTTAGGACATGCGGTGAATATAATAAGATAAATGTATAACGCTTAATAGAACTGAGAGATATATTACAATATATACATATATATTTAAAGATGTACTTGAGGGTGAAGAAATACATATCAATATGGTGTCCTTCCAGAGAAAGAGCAACACGAAGATGTGGGCGGAGTAGGTAAAGAAATCAGAATACATATCACGTACATATATTTAGTGTTTATAGCCATTAAGACAATTTTACTATATACAAACAGTTGTAACTGTAATGAAAGTGAAAACACAGAACAGGTGGAAGACAGCATTTAAGAGCGCTGCTGACATTATTATTATTAATTCTACCTGGGCTAAATATCGTGTAAAGTTTCAAGTCTAAAGATGAACCCAAAAGAAAAAAAAAACCATCTCGGTGTAAATAATCTGAGTGTGTGTAACCCCATGAAAATGTGAATATACTCCCCCTTCCCTCTTCTCTTGGGTCAATTTTAGGCATCTCCTCAATAATTCACACCTCAACTATGAACAGAGAAATTGTGTCAACCACCGATGAGGCCAGCAGTTAACTCACAGTTGAGAGAATCAATCAATTCCCACACGAAAATAATTTTAATCAATTATGCAAGAAGGTTGGAGTGGATGTCAAACAGTGGATTTTGGGGGGAAAAGAGGCGCGCAGTGACACATTAATGGATGGAAAGTGTAACAGATCATAATAATGCCTCTTTCCTGGGTTGGCTCAAATGTAAACTTCGTGAGCTTATCAAATATCTCGTGATGAGCCCATTAGAGAGCACTTGAGAGTCATTTTGTGCTACACCGTAAATCACAATTACAGCATTAGGCGTTGTTTCGGCGATGAGTGAATTTCACCATCTCATTTTTCCCAGTGTTGCACAGAAAGTGAGAGTGAGGACAATTTTTCATCAAAAAACAAGATAAATCCGTTGTTTCCAATTTTCCCCACTTGAACTCAGCATGATCATCGCGATGAGATTTAAATATCATTTGCATACAATTTCTCAGTCATTGTCCGGAAGGCAAATCCGCCGACACTGTGTCAGTCGCGGAAGAAAGTTGACCGTGAATCTTCTGCGGTGATCACTTTCTTCGCGATCGCGAAGAGTGTTACGTAACATTTTCTCACGCACTCAAGCACTCCGTGCTGTCGTTTTTTTCTCTCTCTGTTTCCCTACAATGATTGAATGGGGAAAAAAAGAAAGACAATTTCACATGGCACGGAAGGTAGACTGACTTGAGAAGATGCCAAAGATATGCAGGTACTTTATTCTTGCATACCTGCAGAGTGAGTTTTTTCGGCTGTTTTCACCGCGGCGTGAAAAACATTCAATACATTCCAGCATAATCATTAATAAATATGTTTTATAATCGGACAATTTTTATGGCTGCGAGTCGCGCGGTGATAAAAATGTCCAAACATTGAAGCCCATCTTCTTGGGCTGTTTTTTTTCTGCTCTGCGCTTGAGGTCAAGTTGCGATTTTCAACATAGTCAATTTATTTAATTTATCATCACATGGCGTGGCATCATACATGCTAAAGGGAAAAGATAAAGTATGAATTTTAAGCATCTCTTGCACAAGGTTTATGCGATCCTCAGACAGGTTGTTGAGGTGTCTGAGAGAGAGAGAGAAAAAAAGTGATTGTTCAATTGATGAATCTGGGAAAAAATAGCAATAAATTAGAGGCAAAAATCCGTCTAATTGATTGTCAATTATTTGCTTTCCTTCGTGGTTGGAAAGCCTGACCTCTCAGAGGGTCGCTTCGCCCGCTGCGAACCACCGGAACTCTACAAATACCGAAGATCACACTCCCAAAAAGAGTGGAATATTGGGGAAAGTTTTCTACTGCTTTTTTTTCTCCTCTGTCACCTCGAAGCAGTTTGAAGAAAAATACACTCGAAGATCGCATGAAGATCACTTGGAGATCGACAGAAGATCACCTCTCAACTGATGAGAAACCAAATACTTGGCTTTGTTGTGAGATGCCCAAAGTTTTCACCCAACAGCAAGTATATAAAAGAGAGATTCTCTCCCAAAGTAACCACTGTAATCACGTACATATCATGAGCATTTGTGGCTCTCTAAAGATGATAAATAAGAGATTATTTAGATGAACTATATAGGCAATTTAACTGACAAGAGTATATTGAAAGTCTAAATGTAATAAATGTATAAATTTATACATAAAGATAATAATTGATATCTCCCCCAGATCAATCAATGGAATGAGAAAGAATTTGATGGCAAAAAGGGAACCAAAGAGAAGATTGTGAAGATTATGAGAGTGAAGCAAAGAAAAATAGTTATTGTTGTTGACAAAAAAATATAGTCCTAAAAGAGTAAAAAATATTGAGAAATAAAGAAAACACAGGACATAATCATGTTTGAAAAAAAAAACACTTTCGCTTTTCATTTATTTCTTGGGTAGAAACATCTTGAGAATTTTATTACAAAAGACCTTCCAAGTTGTACAAAAACACAAGTATTTCGGTTGAGTATTTCGAGCTTTTAGGGTTTTTACCTTGTGTCTCTGAGCCGTTCTGCGTTGCAATGTGAAATTGTATATATATATTTGTGACGGAGACAGAATGAGAGTAGGAGAATGGGATAGACACTTATTTGGCTATACAATTAATAATACACACGAGAAAACAAGAAAAATTAAATAATTTACACTAGAAACATAGACATGGGCATGGGAATGAAGTTCAGGCACATTTCAGATTGCAATCTGGGGTTTGGTAGGCTTTGAGCCTGGCCTCGTGGTTATCAGCACCACGAGGAGCGCCAGGACAAACTCGCGAGATGCTCTAGTAGCTGTAGCCACCGTTGGAGGAGTAGCTCTGGGGAATGGTCTCAGGCACAGAGCTGTGTCCTCCGGAGTATCCGCCTGAGTGTCCACCGCCGAATCCACCTCCGAAGCCACCGCCGAAGCTGCTGCCGTGGGAAGATCCGTGAGAAGAATGTCCGCCGCCGCCGCCAGAGTATCCGCCGGATGGGGCGCCGTAGCTAGAGGATGGTGGAGCTCCGTAGCTTGAGGATGGTGGGGCGGGGGCTCCATAGCTGGACGATGGTGGGGCGGGAGCTCCATAAGACGAGGATGGAGCGCTATGGCCGAAACTGCTGCCACCGAAGGATCCGCCATGGGAACCACCATGGGAACCACCGTGCGAGCCTCCGTGAGAGCCTCCGTGAGATCCACCGAAGCTGGGAGCTCCGTACGAGGACGATGGAGGAGCGGGAGCGCCATAGCTGGAGGATGGTGGTCCGTAAGACGAGGATGGAGGAGCAGGAGCGCCGTACGAAGAGGAGACACCATGGGAAGATCCACCGAAGCTGCCGTGAGAAGAGCCACCGAAGCTGCCACCGTGGGATGATCCTCCGAAGGAGCTGAATCCACCGCCGAAGCTGCTAGAGGATCCGTGGGAAGAGCCATGAGAACCGCCGAAGCTAGGGGCTCCGTAAGATGAGGAGGGAGCGGCTGGGACGCCGTAGGAAGTGGCGGGAGGTCCGTAACTGGAAGAGGGCCTGGATGGGGGTGGGCCATAGCTGGATGAGGGCCTAGACGGAGGGGGTCCGTAGCTGGATGAAGGACGGGATGGTGGAGGACCATAGCTGGAGGATGGCCTGGATGGTGGGGGTCCGTAGCTAGAGCTAGGCCTGGACGGTGGGGGTCCATAGCTGGGAGAGGGACGAGATGGAGGAGGTCCGTAGCTAGGAGATGGCCTGGAAGGCGGAGGTCCGTAGCTTGGAGCTGGGACAGATGGTGGGGGTCCGTAACTGGGTGAAGGACGGGACGGAGGTGGGCCATACGACTGGGATGGTGGCCCATAAGAGCTTGATGGAGGAGCGGGGGCTCCATAGGATCCCGAAGGAGCGCTTCCACCAAATCCACCACCGAATCCACCGGAATGTCCGCCAGAATGTCCGCCAGAATATCCGCCAGAGTGTCCTCCGCCGTGGTGGCCAGAAGAGGGTGGCAAGTAGCTTGATGGGAGTGGGGCTGAAAGGTAAGTGAAATGGTAATGTCTCAAGTCAGTGCGTCATGAAAGTGATTAGCATAGAGTCCAAATGACCAATTGCAAACGAGCCAGAACATCAAGATCAACTCGCCATCCGGTATTCGAGTCATGAACGCTTGGCTCTTATCTCGGACTATCTCGCATAGATGGACTGTTTGAATTAGGGGCAGCCCCTTCCTCTTACCTTCACGCTTTACCAACTCGCCAGCAAAAGCGGTGCCCATCAGGCAGCACAGCACCACAGCGAATTGCTGCAAAAGTGAATGAGATCGCTTAATTAATGTCTCAATGCAGTGTGTGGGAAGGTGAGACCGGGAAGAATGGACATTTCGTCAATATTCTTGAAAGATTGTGGGAAAGAGTCCATGACCTTCCCATCTCTATGCAAATTGACTTCTTGGATTAGAGCGTCTTACCATTTTCACGCCTCTTGTGTGGCTCTCAATGCGACAAAGTGCAACAAATTGGTGCTTTCTGCAAGAGAAATAGAGAGAAACGTTGTGAGGTGGAAAGAAAGTCTCGAGGAAGACAAAAATCGGAATCTTCTATTGTCTGCGGGGAACTCTTGTGCAATTCTCCTCATGCAATATTGCAGCATAGTTAATTAGAAGTGGAGCTGCTGATCACAGGTGACAAAAAGAATCGCGAAAAAAAGGGAAAGTGGACGAGATCACATGGCGAAGAAGCTATTCTGTCTCTGCAATCAATCTTAATGGCAAAATCAATTACTGATCCGTGGCACGCGATTATTGCACAAAACGAGAGACGACTTTCTTCTCCTTCACAATGTCACAGTTTTTCTCTGCCGCATCGTCGAAAATATATATATCCACATTGGAAGATGCCAAGAATGGGAAACTTTCACACGCTCAGAGGTATATTGGCGGCTCTTTTGGGATGCGCGCGCCTCGAAAGGTCATCCGGAAGGGCAGGTTGCAATTATTGAGTGAGTCGGTTGCATAAGTCCATCCGTAAAGAGCAGAGAAGAAGACACAGTCGAGTAATCCACAGGCACATTGAGATGAGAGAAACTCTGGCACTCACTAACCGTTTAGAGTAGTTCCTGCGTGGGTCACACTGATCGAGGGAACTACAGGCAAGAGGAACTGTTTGCTACCACCGTGTTCGACAATCAACTGAATACCATTCAGCTGAAATTCGTCACTTTATATAGGCAGAGGCTCACCGGGGGCCAAAAGAGATCTTCAGCGAACTTGGCTTTCCACGCATCTCCCCATCCAAAATCCTCACCTCTCTCGCTCACCCAACAAGCCAAGGAGGTGGGAATGAATTCAGCGCTCTTCTCACCGTCTTTCGCGTCTTCAGCTCAGAGCTCTTGCCGTTCTCCCTCAGGTGCATCTCTGGGCCGCCGTGCAGAATGCCTCCTCTGGATGGGTCATTAATCGCATTTTGAGCAATTTGCATTTGTCTGATAAGTGAAAAATCCGTGAGGAATTTCAAGTGAATCAAGTGAGGCAGAAAATTCAGCAGAGCACAGCAAAATATGATCTCTGCACAATTCTTTATGCATACAGAAAATGTGATTTTCGACAGGCTAAAATTCCCATAAAACATTTAAAAGAGAAGAAAAAAGTGAAATAAAGGTAGAGGCGAATCTTTATCACTTTGCACGGGAATTCATACAATGACCAAATGAAAATGCTAGTATAACTTTATGATGTGCTTTTGCGAGACATTGTCATTATATGTAAAAATATTCAGTACCTATTCATATGCAGAATATAAATTCTATAGTGTGAACGCAAGTTTCTCGCGAAAGTATTTCAATATATCTTAGACCAGTATTTTGCTTGTGCGGCCACAATTTTGAAATGCAATTCTTCCTTGACAAATACACAGACTGTGATTTGTTAAGTAAAAAAATGCCACCAACATTTTGCGAGAGAGTCATAGGATTAATTGTAATTATTATTGTTAGTATAACTGTTGAGACGTGAGTTCGTTTCTGCGTCTGTCTCAAGAATCTCTCTGGAGATTTCCGAAAGGAGATAAGGGAAGATTCGCTGGCGCTGTTCCATGAATACAGAGCAGAATCACACATGAATGGATTATATTGTGAGATGTTACGTAGGTGAATTAAATTTGTCATTCGACGCTGGAGACGCGTCGATGGGCACTCAAGGCGAAGACATTTCTCAAGAAAAAGCCTCTCTTTTCTTTATCCCGGGCGATGGTAAAGAAGAAAAAAATACAATTACCCAATCAAATAGCGCATCAAATTGCGCAATGTGTCCCCTCGTGGAATTGGCATTTTATTGAAAAAATTTAGAGAATCAAGAGAGAGACAGAAGAGCTTCAGACGGAGCTTTTTGTGAGGAGGGCAAAGCTTCTTGGCATTATGAAAGAATGTGTTATCTATTTTTGAATATTACACAATACATATTTATTACTTAAAATACTTCATTTGGCATGTTTAACGTTCAAATCATTGTCACCTCGCGTTTGTGCCTTTTGTCAAGAGAAAGCCACCGACATGTTGTGTTTGTCCAGCGCGAGGGAGAGACAACAGTAGCTGGCTAATGATGAGAAGAATCTCGCCGAGATTTGTGATGGATTTTGGGTTGAAAGGTCATGTGAAAGAGGAGATGAAATATAGATTCTGTCGCGAAGAGACAGTGAAATAAATGCAATTATTACCATCGTCCACACCTTAGTTAGACTAACCGAACCACAATCTTATGCCCATTGTTAAAAAGCACCGCACTGAAGATTGGGTGATGAAAACATGAGCCGCGCGTTATGTTTTATGTAGAGAGAATTAATGTTGCGAGCATCTCTGCAGAAAGTGAAATTAATCGGTGTTTTGTGTATATTTAGTCATTACACAATTTTGTGTCAGGAAAGATGTTAGCAAATAATTGCAAGACGATTTGCGTGAATTATCCATTCTTCTGGTTATCACCTCCATAAACCTCGATGCAAGTGGATTCCTCCTGTCTTTGACACCTTCTTCGCCACTTTCTTGGGTTTTTGAGGTGAGAGGAAAAGTGCCCGTATTGGAGTCTGTGCGCTAATCACAACAATCACCTTTCCAACATCACATTATCATGTGGTCAGGGCTCTTATGCTAACCAAATTTCTTTTCAAACCACGCTAGAAAACAGACCCTGGAGGTAATGTTGTTATGAAAGAAGTGATGATTATTCAGAGTCATGTTTACTCTTGTTTAGGTACATCGGCATCGCGGATGGTTGCATCGCATTTTGTGGTACCAATTACTGGAAATTAATTTCAAGTGTCGCCATCGACTCAGCCGTCAGATAATTCTCTCAACTGAATGGTCTTTGCAAATTCAATTCTCTCTAATTCCCCTGAACAGTGACAAGGGCGTCCATACATAAAACTTTACGATGAGAAGAGCCGTGAGGAGAACATCAATCATCTAACAGCATACAAAGTCTCTCTCTCTCACTCTCTCTGCTCATCTGTAATGCAATATTAATGCATGTGCATCTCCGCGAGTCTGTGAAGGAGCACATCAGCGACTTGTCTCGAGTGTACTTCAACAATGGTGCAACGATATAGGACTGAAAAATCGCCCATTTGAGAGGCCTGAGATGCACCTTGCAGGTGAATGCGCAAATTCTCTAATTACCCAACAATGTGGTGCAACCTTCGTGTGTGTGACGAATGAGTAGACGCAGAGACTGCGGGCTTGGGGGACGACACTTCAATGCAAAGAGATTTACGGGTGAGCTTCTTTGCCCAGGTATATTGATTTATTGGTAGGAAACGCCGTCGAGCGAAACTCAAACTAATTGCATCTCATCTTCACACTCACTTTTTCATCCAAACCGCAAAACTCCACGGTTTTTTGGTGGTTTAAAGAGTGGGTGGATATGGTCAATGTGTTCGTTTGGTCGCGCGCTGGCGTACTTTCGAGGAAAGCAGGGTAATTAGGCACAGTGTTTGGCTTATCTGGCGGAGAGCAAATATTCCTCTCCTTTCGATTCCATAAACAATTTTAATCCATCAATTATAAGATGGTCTCAGGAATTATATATCAAATTGTAATTGCCAGTAATAATTGTATAATATTAGCGAAGAGTGGAACTAATAATTCATGACACTCTCTTTTTCGTGCAGTTAACAAATTTTTTTTTATCTTCCCCAACCATATAAGTCACTGTATTGGAATTGTGAAAGGAGTCAAGTGCAATTGTGCAGAAATTGCAGCACCAAGGATACATTGCGTTGGAAGATCTATTAATCTCGCGGTGAATTGCTCTCGACAATCATTGTCTTGCACTCCAGCGCAATGATTGATGATTCAGATCAATTAGTGTATTGCACAATGCACAAGAAAATCTTTTAATTGTTTGTCCTCAAGTCACGGCTCGCGACTCCGTGGGTGGTTTTGGCGCACCAATTGAGGAAGGGAATTTCTTCACTGGGGCCCTTTTGCAATGCCCTCTAATCCTCAGTCGCGGACAATATCGCAAAATTGCTCCCATTATCTTGGCTCGTCGGCAAAATTCACATAATGGTTTTTGCTGGGAGTTGACCAGTGAGGAAAAAAAAGAAAACCGATGGCACAAGTGAGGCCAATTGCAGACGGTAATTCACGGATAGACGAGAGTGAAAGTCTATTTGGCAAAGTGGCTTCTTCGCTCAATTCCAGCATCATCATCACAATCGGCGAGATCTTCACGTGGTCCACATTTTCGAGAGACAAAGCCCAGCTGAAGTGGGAGGCAGAGATTGATGTTGGCTCTCTCCTGAACTTGCACATCATCTCCTCGTGAGGACATCAGCCAAGGCTCGTGGTTTCACTGCCAAAAATGTGATTGCTTCTGACGCCAGATATTAATCATGCCGAGTGCAAAAAATCTCATTATAGCGCAGATAAATGATTGGGAGAGAGGTTCGCAGTGTCCCACCAAGTTAGACGAGAGAGAGCTTTATAAATTGTAGCGAATTTTAGATGAATTTCATGTCCCTGACTTGTCAAAATCATCGCGTCCTTGATTTTGAATCCCCAATTTTAATGACCGCAACCTTAACATGTCAATCGGGTCTTCAGGGTGAAAATTGTGCGGTAGCTTTTCAATTAAGAAGCACAATTAGTCCTATTTATACAATACTTAAGGTTTTTTGTCGTCTCCACAAGAAATATGAAGAAAGATTAATAGTCAAAAAACAAGAAAATTAATCATTTTTGAGCGAATATGATTTTTTTGTTAAAGAAAAACAAGAAGGAATAGGAAATTGAATTTTGTCACCGATTTACTGAGGCTTGTAAATAAAAATTAACATTGGCATAATTCACAGAATTTCATTGGTTTATGAGCAAACTTTACTCTGTTGTCGACTTTATGCAAATTCGTTAAATTTCTACACACATTTTTTTGAATATGGTCAAAAGCGTTTATTTTGCGTCAGCAAGGCTTGATTTATGACCACAAATAGATAATTTTTTTAATAACATTTAAATGCGGCAATTGATATTGAGAGCAATTCATTCAATTTTGCACTCAAATTTAATTGCCTGTTGAATATTAATTTTGAGTTTTGTTAAATTTTTGAGTTCATTTCCCAAAAATTACCGATTAAAATTAAATTATTTTCTAATTATCATTTCTACTGTGTGGGCAAATATTATTGTATAAATTTCACAGTTTTACGTAAAACCACTTTAAACACTCTACTTGCGGTAAGTACGACAATTTCTGTGCAACATGACGAAATTAAATACTCATTTGAGTGCGAAAAGAAATTACCTGCTCGTCAATCGTCCGCTGCTTCTGTGGAGAAATAGCTGAAGCCCCAAAATGCTAAGTCCCACGCAATAATGGCACAAGTTCAAATTTTATAATTGACCATTGTTGCGAGATCAACGATAGCTCAGTGACTCGGGCTGTTCTGCACTGCTTTGACTAATTAAGTGGTGCGATATGAGGGCGAAAATTACTCAAATCCGGAGGTTGCGATTCTCCCATTCCGGACAGAATTGCTGGGCCATTGTTGAGCCATCCTGGAGTGGAGATTTATTCTCTCTGCTCCAAATACCCACTGGGAGGAAAACCACATCTCTCTTGCGCTCTCATGTTG